AATTATTTTCAATTAGCTACAACTCACTGCTGAAAATAAAGTAAGATGACTGAGATCAACTGGTTTTGCATCCTGGCCGTTTGTTTAGTGTGTAGTCAGTATTGGTTATCTCCTGATTTGAAACCCTCAGATTGGTGTCTTCATGACATTGGCCCCAGACCACAACCTTTCTCTCTCTTCCACCTCCCGAAGCCTTGAGCTCACGAAAAAAACCCGAAACACCCCCAGAAGAGCAATAACGTGAATATATTCACTCTCTCTCACAAACATATACACACACACACACGGGATATGGATGCTCACACCCAGGTAATCTCATAATTCTATTGAATATTTGGTGGTAGAAGCAGGGTGCATTGGATACATAGGAGAGGGCCTTAGTGGTATCCAGGGTATTTTTTTTATATCTACAAAATTACAAGGACTGAATTCTTAGTCTGCTGTTACTACATGTTTACTTTATATTTCCCCATATCATAAGTCATTGTACATGTACTCAAATTTTTAGTACTGTATGTCTGATGATTTTGATTTATAAATGGTGTTACACAATTTGTTATTCATATTATTCTAAAGATGGCTCTATTTAAAATGACAGCACTGTCCAATTCTGTTCATTTGTATTGTACATCCACATATCATTTGGAAAATACAAAATAAACCTTGTGAAAGATATAAATACACACATCCAACTCTTTACACATGACTGATGGCTCAGAAGGTACTGTTGTAATTAGTGAAGCTGTATTCTCAAACCTGGAGTAACGCAAAATATGCTAGTAGACAAAACTGCAAAAGTTTTGTATCCTCAAGTATTGCCCTGAAATTAACAAATCCTGCATCCATTTTACAAATTTGAATTAAGTAGTCAAACAAGATTGCATTGAAATCAGTAATCATTGTTAAATAAAATCTTCACTGGATTCAGTTAGTAGGAGCTGCAATTATTATAATAAAGAACTTCTGGAGCAATAATTGACTTTGATACTTCAGGCCAATCCATAAAAAAAAGAACTATTGGCATTCTATAGGTACCCTCAGATTTATAGTGCTAACTTAAGGAACAGCACTAAAGTAGGTTGCAAGAAATTGCATGCAGAATTATTTTAAGACGCAGTCATATTCTTGTTTCCATATAAAAGATAATGGAATACAGCTTGATTTTACTTTACTTTGGAAAATTTAATCACAAGATATACAGCCCAAAGGCACCTTGCACAAGCACAGAAAATTCAGAAATCAGTGTAACAGTAAGTTATGCAAATGCCCAAGCTTGGAAACACATGTATAAGTGCTCCTTTGTCATGGTTCTCAATGTAAAATACACTTCAACATTATGAGTCCAATTTACAAATTAGACTATTTTATTTCAGATACCAGTAGTTACAATTGAAGTCATTATTTTCACCCACTGGGCATCTGGGAAGAGGAAAGCTAGACTTCAAACCCTCAGTGAAACCTGCTACCAAGGTCCCAAACGAATACACAATACTCACCTTGAAATGACTCACTGCAGCTTATATGCTCAATGCTCATGTGCAAAACTTACCAGTAGTACTGCCAGGCTGATGGAGCTGCTAGCCAAAAGAAAAAACTCCCAACCATTAATACCCACCCATTAAATTGCAGTGGAATCACTATTCTTCTCCTGGGCAGGCTCCCCCATCCCCATGGCATTTTAGCCAGAAGGCAGGGACTCAGTTCCCCTCTTGGATACAATCCAATGTTACTGTCAGGGAATTATTAAAAAACATGCATGCTTAAAGAAGATTTTTTTTTTTTTTTTTTTTTTTTTTAAAAGAATTCATTCAATAAAGAATGATAACTTCTTTAAAAGAAAAATGTGCAGGGATGTTAGTATCAACCTTACAGATTTATATGCAACATGTTTATGTACCATGAAAACTTCAGGATTATTATGCTTCAGGTTTAATGGAAAATGGTCTGATTCAGATTACAGAAGTTAAATTTAATATAATGACTCACGTTAAAATGAAAACTCAGTATTTGGTAAATTGATGTAAATTTAGAGAAGCAAATATCAACCAAAGTCAGTTTTTGTTTTCCTTTTCTTTGCTAATTAGACATGGCTTGTACCACAATATATTTTGCTATGCAACAGTAGATCCCCAGCCATCCCATCCAATTCCACCAACCCACCCCATCTCCGTCGAACCTCACTGGAATGTCCTTGATCCACGAGCCAAGATAAATAGCAACAGACTATCAAATTCATTTCTTTGGGCCGGGAGAAAAATAAACTGCAGTCAAACCCAGTTCTGTTCTTTCCCCACCCAATATTTGCATTCCATCAACTGAATTCAATCAGGAAATGATTTCTCAACTAATTTCCCTCTAGCATAGCGACAAGGGCCAGTTGTAATATTCCTTACATATGTCCACTGAATGAACCAATTTGTAGCTCAACTGGAGTGGACATGGCTCTACACCACAAATCTAACACATCAACTGCACCTCTAAAAATGTTTTAGAAACTAAAAATTTAATACTAATGAATGACAAGCCTTATTTCCATACTTTGGTGCAATTTTAGTCAAATTAAAGGAGAGTTTAATACGAGTGTAATACAGTATCACACTTCCCAGCCAAATGACGCTAGGTTTAACCAGACCAGAATTTGACCACCTTGATTTAGATCGAAGACTAATGTTAGTTCAAACCGTGAATTCAAACTGAGAGAAGTTGAATGCCAGTTAGTTATTGTATATAAATTACATAGCCATATGATTTCATTTCCATTGTGAGGGGCATCTCAAACTTTTAGACCAAGTATTCATTTGTAGAGTTCCTTAAATACTACAGCATTGTAGATGCTAAATGTTTTAAATTTACATTCAAATTAGAATCAGAAGGAGCAGCTACTTAGCCTCACAAGCTTGCTTTGCTATTCAGCAAGCTCAAGCCTGGCTGATTTCTCTATACTCCCATCTATCCCCAATAAACTTTCAATACCCTGCTGCTAAAGAATCTACTCAACTCTACGTCCACTGTCTTTTGGGGAAGAGTCCAAGGGTTCAAGAGCCTTAGAGATAGGAAAAATTATCCTGTCTTTAAAAAGCAACCCAACATTTTAGATTCTCCTGAGAGTAAACTATTTTTTCCACATTCACTGTCAAAACCCCTTTGAATCTCTTATGGGCTTGATAAAAGCATAACAGCATAAAATATATGGGCTGAATGGTCTATTCTGCTCCTCAGGTCTAATAACTCACTCAGACATGGTTATGTTTCTCAACCCCATTTTCTTACCTTCTCCCCATAACCCTTGATCCAATTACCAATGAAAAGCCGACCCACATTTTAGGACTGAGATGAGGAAGAATTTCTTCAGCTAAAGAGTCACCTCCTCACTGAGGCTATGCCCTCAGATCCTAGTCTCTAGTGGAAACATTTTCTCCACATTTTTGAAAGTTTCAGAAATCCCCTATGTCTTTCTAAATTCCCATCAAATATAGACCCAGAGTTCTCAGCTGCTCCTCATACAACAAGTCCTTCCTCCCAGATTATTTTTATAAACCTCCTTTAGAGCCCTTACAATGCCAGCACATCTTTCCTTTGAACAGTTTTGGGCCCTGTATCTATGTTCCAAATAAGGTCTGACTAGAGCCCAATACAGCCTCAGCAGTACATCTCTGCTCTTGTATTCTATTCCTCTTGAAATGAACGCTGACATCATACATGCCTTCCAAACCGCCTACTGAACCTGCATGTTAACCTTAACAGAATCGTGAACTAGGATTCCCAGATCCCTTTGGGCTTCAGATTTCCGAAGCCTTTCCCAATTTAGAAAATAGTCCATCCCTCCTACCAAAATTCATAACCTCATTTTCCCTATGTTGAATTCCATCTGCCACTTCTTTGCCCACTCTCCAAGCATGTGCAAGACCTTCTGTAGCTTCATTACTTCCTCAACATTACCTGTCCCTCCACCTTTGTGTCACATCTTACTCTTCAAAACTTCAGTGAACAGAAAACTAGCCTGTCAACCTACCCTACATAGCTGCCCACTATGTATTAAGTCTAGGAAGCAGTTCAAAGATTTATAATCTTTCCTTAGAGACTAATACTGAACATTGTACTCCACCTGCAGTCTCACCAACACCCAGTAAACCACAGAGTCACTTTTTTTTGTACTCAAGTTCCCTTGCAACAACCAATAAATATTCTATTCGCTTCCTAAATACTTGGTGTATCTATATACTAAGCTTTTGCGATTCATTCTATGATACCCAGATCCCTACACATCTCAGCTATGACATCTCATGAACATTTTGGTTGTGTTTTGGACAATGTTTTCCTACTTTACATTCCATTTGACATATTTCGCCCCCTCAACCTAAAATCCTCCAATGCCTCTTCATAAATAAGTTTCCTACTTATTTTGATGTAGGTTTTGTTAGTTCTAATAAGGTTGTATTCAAGAAAAAAAGACCAATCATGGCACATCAACAGGAATATTTTTTGATATTCATATCAGATATAGTAAAATATTCATCTAATAATTGGATGCTGCAAAATAATGCATTGAAATACAACACCTCTGATTACAAAAATCTTTTTTGGAATCTGTCAGAACATTTATGATACAGACTGTTTTTTTTAAGATTTTAAACAGAAAGTGCAAAATCAACTTGTTCCTACATGTTTTTAGTTCTAGAATACAAAACAAAAATCATTCATTTAACATGGTACTTACCACCTCCCATTTGGAGAATTTGTTTATGAAGTCATACTAATCTCAGAAGAATGTAGCCAAAGCATGTTTGTGTTACTGCTGTGTCCACTAACATACTGTTTGAACATTATTGTATATGTTAACTCAACATTTCAACTGAGTGCAAATCTGAGTTCAAGGATGAAGATGGCTGCTCTGAAAATGGAAAACTCTGTTCCCTCAGTCTCATTGAGAGTGTGTGAAGTGTTTGAAACTGTAATGTGCACTTTAAAAATGTCTCGACAAGTCAATTCATCAGAAAAACTCAGCAAAATAAAATTCCGGTTTATTGTGGACAACAAACTTTTCACACATACAACAGGCCACAATGGACAGTATTTTAGACAAAAAACCTTGATCTTTGGCCTTTCCACCTCATACAAACCAACTACTTATAGTACAGCTAAAGTACATACAGTTATTGGAATGCTCAAAATTAATTTTGTTTTTACAGATTACCTTTAAAATAATGTGGCGAAGACATGGTCAAACCACCAGTAAAGTCAGTTTTACTGAAGAACTTCAAAGCCCTGTTTGGTCACCAGAGATCACTGTTTAAATTGGCTGACCTCTAACCATATGTACAAAAATATAAAATGTAAATAAAAATACAAACAAATTCTCCTTTAGGATTTTAAGAAAGAAGTAGGGCCATGAAGTCTTAGTAATTTTATTTTAAAAATTCTGCAGGTGACTTGCACTGGTGTACACTCTACTTAGTGATGATGACCAAGTTTTTCCAACAGAAAAAAAAGGGGGAATGTGGATGAAAATACAGCTTATTCATCATCTGTTTTCTGCTTCTTCTTTGCAACATCATCCTATGGGTTTGAAAAACATTGATGAATAAGGATTGTTATCTTGCCTCATTTTATAAACAAATATAAATACAAACAGTCTTTTTGTTTTAGTCATTATAGCTAAATGCTAATTGAAATCAAGTTTCATGGCCTTACTATTAGCTCTACTACTTTTATGTGCATTGTAATATGAACATTCCATAAACAGTGACAATGCAGTAACTCAGTCTATATAGATTAATTCCAATCATATCAAAACCACAGCACATAAGTTTTTTTGAGAAGAATAAAAGCTAACTCAAAACAAGCAGTTGAGAAACCATAATTTTCAGTAACTGTATACCATGTTCACTAAAAAGGGAACTAAAATTTACATACCTCTTCATCTTCAGCCACCCGCTTCTGTGCGGCCCCCTCACATTCATCATCATCGCCCTCCTCATCTAGAGAGAGAAAGCAGCCATCCTTTGAACAAAGGGGGCACTCACAAAAAGTGCTAACACCCTCCCTTCATCATCACTATGTTAATTAAGAATGCAAGACTTTAAGGCCCATTACCCAATTCCATTCAAAAGTGTACGAACAAAACACATGAATTCATGAAATTAAAAACTTTAAACATTGAGATCTGTTGAATTACAGTACCTATTGTTCCACTCCGAAAGTGAAACTATAAACATAGTAAAGCTAACCCCTGAAACTAGCCTGTGGTTAGCACTGCTGCCTCACAGTGCCAGGGACCCAGGTTCAATTCCACCCTCCGGCAACTGTCTGTGTGGAGTTTGCACATTCACCCCGTGTCTGTGTGGGTTTCCTCCGGGTGTTCCGGTTTCCTCCCACAGTCCAAAGATGTGCAGGCTAGGTGGATTGGCCATGCTAAATTGCCCATAGTGTTCAGGGGTGTGTAAATTAGGTGGGTTATAGGGGGATGGGTCTGGGTGGGACGCTCCAAAGGTTTGGTGTGGGCTTGTTGGGCAGAAGGGCCTGTTTCCACACTGTAGGGATTCTATGATTCTAATATAACATCAGTCAGTCCAGGTACCACATGTGACTAAAACAGGAGGATTTGGAAACCACCTGCCATTCTCAATGCGGCCAGTAGTGTCACTAGAGAGAATAACTGAATACTAATATATAGTTACAAAATGGGACCAAAAATTGAACATACAAAATGAAGCGCAATTTAGCAATGAAGTCAGAAGGACAACTCAAGTGCTACAAATAATGTTTCACGCTATTCAAAATGATTAACAATTTATACTTCGACTGGAAAAGCTGGAACTAGGGAATCAAAAAGTTAATTTTTCAGCTTATGAAAACTGGACTGAAGAGTTCTGGTCAGGGATTCCTCGAAGTAGTGTTATAGCTTGATGTACTTGATATCATCATGATGTGGTTAAGGATGTACTTCATAAAATATATACACCCATATTAACTTCTGTCAATTTATTTTCTATTAAGCTTTTCTAGTCAGGTCATTTAACGAGGTTGATGCAATTATTCACGCCATTGAGTTCCCAAATCTTGTCACATCAATCTGAAATATTGATAACAAGTAAGTTACCTTCTTCATCCTCTTCCTCCTCATCATCTTCACCAACATCCTCACTTTCTTCATCTACCTCATCTGCATTCTCTTCAACTTCTTCTCCATTTTCTTCATTCCCCTAATCAAATTGAGTACAGCCATGTCAAAACCCTTCTGATTTTCTAGTTAAGTAAACTAAAAAACACTCCGCTTGGCAACTTACAGCATTTCCATTGGCTGGTGCGTCACCTTTGCCATTTTCAGGCTCTACCTCTTGAGTTTTCTTCAAGTCCTTAGGGAGGAAAAAAAAAGATAGAAAAGCTCCATCAACAAAACATATGTTGCTAAAAGCCAAATTAAAGTGCCTCGTCCTCTGTTTGGGGTTTTAAACAAAGTGTCGACTAACATGTCAAACAAAACATGACAAATGGACGTCAAAAGAAGCTTCTGTCTGTATTTAATTTATTGACCTACCCAACAGGCGGCACCACCTAATCCAGTGGCATCGCGAGGTGTCCCCATCCATCCCCTTTAAATCTAAATTGCTGAAAGCCATGGGGCATTTTGGGAACGATAGTCTAACAGTGTAGTGTTGCCTTATTGTTTAACAACCCCACGGGGGAGGGCGTACGGAGAGAGAGCGCACTGACTCCAAACTCTCAGCGTGCTTCGCATGCACCACCTACACGCGTCAACTGCCAGAAATAGCGCACATCCACCTCTCTCGAAACTCTTGTTCACCGCCATCTCCACAGCTTCAGCTCTGCCGTCTATTGTGCCACTCACTCGAGAGCAACACATCAGTTCGCTTTTCGTGGAAGTTAAAAAGAGGTTATAATCCCGCTCAACGATTCAGAAATAAAGTCTGTGACTTGCACCCATGTACAGAACGCGTTAGAAGTAGGCTGCAGCGATCCATCTGGACAATAAATGGATTTTGTTTTTATAATCCCATCCAATAAAAATTACCTTTTCGAATAAAAAAACTAAATTCTGTATACGCGGAACGACCTTTCGCATTATCCTTTTCGGGATTTTTTTTGGGGCCAATATTTCTCCCAATCACAAAAATAACCAAACATCGCCAACTTTCACTATGCACCTCGCGATCTGACGACTCCCGACTCAACTTCAGGAAACTGTTTACTAATGTTTATTTACTAATCCGGTCATCGCTGGCATCATCCCAGAGGCAATTCACCACACCTCCCCCCCCCCGCCGATAGATTAATCACGGGATCAAAGTGACTCGTCCGCCGGCATTGAAGGTGCAGACACATAATCGGCTCAATGACAAAATAAATGACAGCCGAAAATAAACGCAGCCAAGGTCAGGCACCCTTAAAAAGCAGTCGATGGGTTCACTCAGTTCCCGAAAGCGCGACATACCCGGTCTCAGAGACGGAAGTGAAACTCCGGCTCCCACGCTTCAAACCGACTGCTTTTCTTCGGACAAATGTCAAGTACAAAGAGTCAAAAAAAATTCTCGCACCGTTTAACCCGGCACCTATTGTATGGTCAATCGGGCTTTCACAGAATAAACCGGAGATATTGTGTTTTTTTTGGGGGGAGGGCAAGGGGGAAAGAGGAGAAGGATTGTTTTCAAATTGAAATTTGAAACCTCAAGGCTCAGTGTAATCCCTTCCATTAACTCGAAGGATATTTACAACACGGTACATATGCGCCCTCAAAAATGGATACGTGTTCTCAACATGACATCCTCCTTTGAGGAAAAGGACAGGAGGCAAGTAGAATCCCGATCGATGTATTTGCTCAGCATATCGCTAAAACTACGAGAAATGCTTAAAGTCAACAACTCGGACCTGATTTTACGTAAACCTTTATCTGACTGCTCAACAGTTAAGATAAAGAATAAAATAGATATGTAGAGATTGCTCCGATACATTTTAACGCTGGCGAGCTGATTCGCCCTTAAATGAAGTCGGGAGCAGTGCTACCCGGAGAGCGCGCTCTTCACAACATCTAAAAACACAACCCACAAACAACAAGATCCAACTTCAGACTGCGCTCTGTCAACAAACGTCCCGACCCTCGGAAAAGGGGAATTCTGACCGTGCTGCGGAACAGAGTCGTCTCATTGAAATCTGAACTCAAACAGGAGCAGCTGGATGTGAACTGGGAGCCGGCTGCGTGCAGCCACTAGACTTGACTCTGTCCCTTTGATGTTGCTACAAAGCAATTCAACTGTATCCGAACAGATAATAGCGAAGGAGACCACAGCTACCGTTCAGGACAGCCAGAGTGCTCGGAGGTTGAAGTGGTGGTGAACTAAACAAAAAGGGCGCGATCGATTTCTGCAGAATGATTTATCACCAAATTCATTGCTAAAACGCCGAAAGGAAAGGTCGACCTCCGCGGAGCAAGAAAGACTAGCTACCAAGGCGAATTGAGACAACTCTCCGCCAACAAGTTTATGAAATACAACTTCATCACAACATCCACACAGTTTACCTATCTGCAACCCCCGGGTAGGGAGCTGCTCTCCCCGTTCCGAGGCGAAATGCAGAAGTTCCCGTAAAAACAGCATTCCGCCTGGGGGCGGAGGGGAAAGACAGAAAGCGAGGCGAGCGCAGCTTTCCGGAACGCCAACTTTCGCAAGTATCTGGCACATTCAGCACTTTCTTCAGACATCAGGAATCACATTCTTTTATTTTTTAAAAAAAGTGGCAGAGGGAAAGAAAATACACTTTCTCCTTCACCGAATGTGTTGGCGATAACCCGGGCGGGCATCAATCACATCGGAGACACGCCGTCTTCAACACAAAGAGCCCGTGCTGATTCCTTTCACATGTATCAACATGACGTTTGTTGCAATTTTTTTGTTACATTTGTCTCCGCATCGAGTTGTTATTATTTTGAAGGCAGGCTCTCTCGCTGACAGAGAAGGGAGAATGGGGAATAAAAGAGTGAGAGGGTGGGTTACCTTGGGGCTTCGCTCCACATTGATTTCCAGCTTGCTGTCTGACATGCTTGTAACTGTGCGGTGCTGGAGCTGGTGCCGGGGAGAGCGCTGAGCCGCTACGGGAACAATACAAAGATGGCTCGAGTCGCGAGTGCGGGGCTGGCGGCGGCGGCTCGCGCATTTACACAGCACCCGCCTCCCGATCCCCTGCCCGCGCGCACGTGACACGCGCCGCGCCGTCCCATTGGACAGGCCTGCCCCAGCTCGCCTCTCCATTGGTCCGTCTTCCCCACACCCCAACGCACCGCCATCATTCCGCCTAGAATCCGCCCGCCGCTCCCCGAAAGCAGAAACCAACACAAACATTCACATCGGGCTCCATCGGCCCGCTTTCAGTCGGGAGCATGGCGCCGTGACCTGACGCCTTCCATTTGGGTGTCGGCACGTGGTGATTGGTTGACGGAGGGGGCGGGGTCTTTTCTGGATCGGCCCACTCTTCCCTGATTGGTTAATTTACGAACGGAATATAAATTTGATCCCATGAGATCACTGGTCTGTGATTGGTCGCTCATGTGTCTATCATACGATGTCACCCAACGGCCGGCTGCCTGGTGAATCGCAAGACACGGACAGCGCGGATTTCAATGATCCGGCTCCGGAGGAGAGTGAGGTTCCCGCTCCGGAGAGAGTGAGACTCCACACCAGAGAGAGTGAGACTCCACACCGGGGAGAGTGAGGTTCCCGCTCCGGAGAGAGTGAGGTTCCCGCTCTGGAGGAGAGTGAGGTTCCCGCTCCGGAGGAGAGTGAGACTCCACACCGGGGAGAGTGAGGTTCCCGCTCCGGAGAGAGTGAGACTCCACACCGGGGAGAGTGAGGTTCCCGCTCCGGAGAGAGTGAGACTCCACACCGGGGAGAGTGAGGATCCCGCTCCGGAGAGAGTGAGACTCCACACCGGGGAGAGTGAGGATCCCGCTCCGGAGGAGAGTGAGACTCCATACCGGGGAGTGTGAGGATCCCGCTCCGGAGGAGAGTGAGACTCCATACCGGGGAGAGTGAGGATCCCGCTCCGGAGGAGAGTGAGGATCCTCACGGGGGAAAGTGAGAATGCAATACCGGGGCAGGTGTCCCAGTGTCTGGCAGGGAAGAGTGAGGATCCTGCAACAAGGGGAGCAAGCATCATGTTGTTTGACCAAGGTCAGAAAAGATCCTGCAACAACGGGAACAAGCATCATGTTGTCTGACCAAGGTCAGAAAAGATCCTGCAACCACTGATCAAAAATCTATCTATCTCAGCCATAAATTTGCACGAGGACTCTGGCCCCACAGCTGTCGGTGGCAAAGAGATCCAAAAACCCTCAGAGAGAAGAAATCCGTCCTCACCTCAGTCTTAAATTGCCGCCCCTTCATGCTGAGACAATGCCCTCTGGACCTATACTCCGAGCTTTTACCCCAAGTCCCTCAAGAATCCTGTATGATTCAATGAGACCACCTCTTATTCATCTGAACTCCAGTGAGTAGAGTCCCATCATGTTTACCCTTAGCTCATAAGACAAACCCTCCATACCAGGAATCTTCCTTGTGAGCATTCTCAGAACTGTCTCTAATGAAATTATATCTTTACTTAAATGAGGCAACCAAAACTGCTCGCAGTACTCCAGATGTTGTCTCACCAGCACCTTATACAGCTGCAGTAAGAATCCCCTACTCTTAAACTCCAACCCTTGTGAAATAAGGGCTAACATTCCATTAACCTTCCTGCTTACTTGCTACACGTGTGTGCTAGTTTTCTGTGTTTCAGGCACAGATTCCCACAGGTCCCTCAATAATACTCTGTCCTTTTGTTTACACTTCCAAAAAGGACATCTTCACATTTTCCCATATTATACTCCATTTTGTCAACATTTTGCCGATTTATTTAATCTATCAATGTTCTCACTGCAATCTGTTTGTATCGCTGTCACAACTTGCCTTTCTACCCATTTTTGTATCTTCTGCAAAGTTAGCTACAATACATTTGCTTCCTGACCCCGTGTCATTAATATAGTCAGAAGTCACACAACACCAGGTTATAGTTGAACAGGGTGTTTTTTTTAGAAACCCCTAAGCTTTCAGAGCACTGCTCCTTTGTCAGGTGAAGTGGAGGGAAGTGTACAGGCACCTCCACAACATCGTCATTAATATACATTGTAAACAGTTGCAGTCTCAGCACTGATCTCTGTGGAGCACCACTCATTACAGGTTGCCAACCTGAAAAAGAACCCTTTATCTCCACTCGCTGTTTCCCGCCCATTAGCCAATTCTGTGTCCACACCAAAATATTATTTCCAACACTATAGGCTCTTATGACTTAACCTTTTGTGAGGTACCTTATCAAATGCCTTCTGGAAGTCCAAATACAACACATACCAGTAGTTCTGCTCTATCCACTAAATGTTGAGACTTCTACCAAAAACTTCTTAAATACACCCCTTTCATGAAGCTGTGCTGACTCTGCTTGATTAGATAATGTTCTGCTATTGCTTCCTTAGTAACTGATTCCAATATGTCCCAACAATCAATATTAGGCTAATCAGCCTGCCTTTCTCCCTCCTTTTTTACGTAGGGGTGTCACATTGTCAGTTTTCTAATTCTCCGGTACTTCTCCAGAATCCAAGGATTTTTGGAAAATTACAACAACTGCATCCACTATTTCCCATACCTCTTTTAGGATATTAGTATGCAAGCCATCAGGGCCAGGGGATTTATCTGCCTTTAACCCCATTAGTTTGTCCAAACGACTTCTCTAATGATGATGATGGTACTTAGTTCCTCCTCCATTTTCTTTAGTATTAATAAGATATTCAAAGGATCTTCCACCATGAAGATTTTTGCAAAATATCTGTTTAACTTCTCAGTCATTTCCTTGTTCCCCATTACAATCTCCCCAGATTTATTTTCTAACTGCCTACGTTCACTTTGACCTCTCTCTTCATTTTTATATATTTAAAGAAGCTCTTATTGTCTGTTTTTATTTTCCTCACTGATTTGTTCTCGTAGTTTATTTTATCTCTATTATCTTTTTATTCCTCCTTTGCTGGATTCTAAATTTATCCCAGCCTCCAGGTCTATCACTGACATTTGCCTCATTATATTCTTATTCTTTCAACTTTATACTCTCCTTAACTGCCTTAGTTCACCATGGTTGGTTTAACCCTCTCTTAGCATCTTTCCTGCTTACTGGGAAGTATTTTTGATGAGAGTCATGCTCCAGGTAATTCATGACCTCTTTAATTGTCTGCCACTGCTAGTTTACTGTCTTTCCCGCTAATCTATGCACATAGTCCACTTAAGCTAACTCTATTCTCGTTTTGTTGTAATTCCCTTTATTTAAGTAATTTGTTGTTGCAACCAAAGTTCCTCACGCTCAAACTGAGTATTAAATTCTATCGTGATATGATCTCTACTTCCTCGGGGTGACTAAGGAGAGTGAGGATCCGCTGTCTGACAGGAGACAACACATGGATCCTGTGCCCAGGGAGAAGGAGGATCAGTGTCCCTGGTGCTGTCTAACTCTCTGCACAGCTGCTGGGGAATTCTGATCCTGGTAACTGCAGAGTGTGAGCCTTTATTATGCTCCATTCAGGCACCAGGTAAAAATGTCTCTAGAATATTTATTTAATCAAATTGTTGGGGAAGCAACCATCCTCCAAGTCATAACTGCATGTTGGAAGAGGTTGACACCCATTATAGTGGGTATTAATTTTACTCCAGTTTCTGCTTCTATGTACTTATTAAAGTATACATGTGAGCAATAGATTGCTGAAGACATCTAATTAAATTAAGAGCCTTTTCTAAATATTATTTAAATTGAGAGCTCAAAGCACTGAAAGTTATGTGTTTGGTGATATTTACAAGATGTAGGAAATGCATTTCTTTTCACTCCTAAACCTTTGTCACCACCAAGCTTCATGGTTGAAGACTGCAATCTACTATCCAGCACCATTTGCTATATTCCTCTTTTCTCCTAACCCTTAGCCCAACAAAAGTAATTTGTCCAAATTTGCCACCATCCTGTCTCTAAACTTGCAAATTTCTCTAGTTTCACCCTAGTATTCCTATTTCTAAAGATCAAGATGTATAGACATTAACCTGAAATTTGTTGGCTTAGCCAAAATTAATTGAGGGGAAGAAAAGTGAAACCCACACCAGTGAGAAGTCAACCAGTAGGCTGGGGACCCAATGATTAGAAAGGTCACTGGTCTTAATGTGTTTCTGTATCTGAAAGGGTGTGTGTTTGGATTAAGAGCTGTAACTCAATAGTAATAGACTAGGCTGTCACAGTATGTCTGAAAGGTTGGTGTTCTAATAGACCATGATATCAGATATGATAATGTAGACTATTTATGCTAATCAGAGAGAGCTTTATCACAGAATTATGCTGTGTAAATATCATAGAGTTGATTGGTTGATATAAGGTGGGAACAACATGAATAAGATCGATGAGGTAAAAGTTTGTTAAAATCAAGAGATAAGCCTCTTTCCGGTGAAAACGAGCAAGTCCTAATGAGAAATTAATCAAACCATCTGTGATAGATGACACATTTGCGATGTTTACCAGTGATCAAATTGCTAGAGATTTGACGGTGTCATTGTTTGAATGCACAGCTTTTCTAATTGGAAAAAGGGAATAAGAAAGCTTGCCTCAACGCAATAGATAAATCGCTAAGGTCAGGGTCATCTGATTACTGACTGGAGGCTGAGACAGAGTAGCCTAATCACCTGTTTCAGTATGAGCATTTGACACGTCCACGTAAACTGGTTCACTTCTGATTGTAAGCATTGTGCAGTTAAGATTTTCTTTGCAGTATTTTTTAGTAATTGCTTTGCTCGTGCAAAAGAAAATCATGCTATAGAAAATCGCATTATAGGGAAATCGCCATAGAAAATCACTATACCTATACAGAGGAAAGTTTGCGTTATCCAAACAGCATCCACTGTTCATCAATCCCGTTAATGAAACACGCTTTATAGCAGAACTACCTGGATAGGAAGAAATAATGGGGGTTTGTAAGAAGGTCAAAATAATTATCTTGGGTGATTTTAATCTACGTATACAGGTAGTTCTGCTATAATGCATGTTTCATTAATGCGAATTGGCTGTAACGCAATTGATGAATAGTGGACACTGTTTGGATAACACAAACTTTCTGCTGTACAGGTATAGCGATTTCACTATAACACGATTTTCTATAGTGCGAGGTCACACAAGAATGCAACCGTCATATTATAGGAGAACTACCTGTATGCCAGGT